GATCCTGGGACTCCAGGATCATGACCTGAGCCGAAGGCAGTCGCTTAACCAACTGAGCCACCCAGGTGCCCTGGGATCTTATTCTTAGAGTCTGGCCCTGCTAGAGTGCCATGTGGTGCCCCAGGATGTGGGGGCGTGTCCTGCCCCTGGGGAAACCACAGACCTGCCCCTCCTCCTATCTTTGTGACTTTCCTTCAATAAACACTGTTCTAGAAGGTCTGGTATTTGTACTGTTTACTTGACATATATTCCATCTCATTTTAAATGTCATAAAAACTTTGGCAAGTGGTTATTATTTTTCCACATATTTTGATGAGAAAAATGAGGCTTAGGTATATTATGTAACCTGCCTAAAGGCACTGAGGTCCTAGTGTAAGAGTCTGAATACCAACAAATTCCTTCTGACATCAAGTCTGGTGTTCATGCTATTGTATTATTAGAATCTCCAATTCTATTTGCAGTGGGATAAGAGTTTCAAATATCATCTGACATATTTTCCTTCTTTAAAATTCATTTTTTCCCCTGTAACCCTTTTGCCATAAATTCTGGGGATGAATTTTATTGATCCAGGAAAGGGAGATTGCAAAAGAATCCAATGAGACCAAAGATTCAAATTCTTGACTTTGGTTTTTCAAAATAGACTTTAAAAGTCTTAAGAGGAAAAGATATCCTAAAAATGAAAGCATTTTTGAGTTGCAAGAACCAGGCACCTGATCATTTTTTGTTTTGAAAACTTATATGTCAAGGGCAAAGCCTGATGTTTCAGGGCACACTTTTTTTTTTTTTTTTTTTAGAAAGGGAGAGAGAGAGAGAGAGAGGAGGGGGTGGAGGGGCAGAGGGAGAGAGAGAATCTTAAGCAGGCTCCATGCCTAGCACTGAGCCCTATATGGGGTTTGATCTCAACCCTGAGATCATGACCAGGGCTGAAATCAAGAGTCAGATGCTTAACCAGTGGAGCCACCCAGGTGCCCCTGGGGCAATTTTTATCATGAATCCTGAGTCTAAAACCCTGAGCTAGTAATGCTGGTGATAAAAAAAACACACGGCAGTGGCTATCCCATGCAAAGGGAACACTTTCTGCTTTCTGTCTGGAATTCTGAGAGGACCCAGCTCTGTAAAATGATGCACTCCAAAACATTTCAGTCACAGTAGAGTAGAAATAGTACTATGGTCTATTTAAATACTGGTTTTCAAAAATATCTGAAAATATTTTGCTTGCCTGAAGGAGTTCATGGAAGGTATTTGGGAATTGAGAATTGCTGTGTTCAGCCAAGGGGACCTCATTAAGAAAGGTACATGGTGCACAGACCAAGTGAAGGACATGGTTGAATCTCAGAGGATCAAAAACTCCAGTAAGAAGGGAGTTGGGAGTCAAGATAGCTGGAGAGACTGAAGAGCTTGCACACGGAGTCTTAGAGAAATTCCTAGAAGCTGCCACATGACATTTACACTTACATTTCATTGACCAGAACTTCGTTTATGGTCATATCTAGCTTCAAGGAAGTCTGGGCAACACAGATTTTATTCTAAGGCAGAATAAAGGGGGGAAAGGGAGCAGAATGGATACTGAGGGGAAAGTAGCAGGTTGTATTTATTACACAGGATGAAGAAGAAATAGATGATTTTCTGGGCAATATGCTAAACAGACAGACTTTATGGATATTAGTCATAAACCATATTCACCAAAAACACGGAAGCTCAATAAATGAAATAAAAGCAGTTTGCAAGAAGTTGATAAAATAAGTAGAAGATTCCAACAGCCCTCTTTAGGAACATGACAGATTCAATAGAAAACAAAACAAGGGCATAGAAGAATTTAATGATACAATCAAAAAAGTGGAGTACATAGCTATCCATGCATATATAAATTCATAGCTTTCAAATAAAATTAATTATGGCTATGTACTTGGCCTCAAAGTAAATTTAAAATTTTTTGAAAAGTTGAGTTTTTATAGGCATATTCTCTGATCATGATCCAATTAACACAAAAATATAAAAAGGTAAAAAATGTTAACTCTTGAAATGAAGAAATGAATTTCTGGATAAACCTTGGAGCAGAGTCAAAATTAAAATTAACCGAGGATGCTAAAAACAAAGAAAAAGGATAGTCCATACCAAAACCTATGAGACAGAGTGGAAGAAGATAAGGCATAAATAGCATAACTGAGAAAAGTTTCTCCTTTCCTAATCCTTAGAATAAGCAGACTTGGTAACTGGGTGCATACGATCAGGACAAAGCTCTGAGTGTTTTATGGATCTTGTAAGTAAAAGCTCCGGTCATTGGCAGCAACTGCTGGAAGTTAGGATAACATCACCCGAAACCTCTATGGAGATCCTTCAAGGGTGAACATACCCGGTTTTGCATGCTCTGGTGTGCTGGTGACGTTTTCAGCTGTGATAATATTTTCTTATTACACCATCACACCCTTAAAGTCAACTGGTTCGGTTTTGACCACCTGGATTTGTATCTTTTAGGATAACGTGTAATGATATATTTTTAGTGAAACTAGGTGATCTGAGGAAAAGAAAATAACAATCTGTGTATTCATAAATTGTGAACAGTCAGTAAGGGCGGTGAGAAGAGCTTAGTTTTTTATGTTTTAAATGTCAAATTAATGGCTATCTTTAAAATGTCTGAGTCATGTTCATCTGTTTTGGGGCTTGCTTATACTCTTGGCCCTAAAAAGACTCACAAGTTAATTTCAGAATCTGATTCCTCTATACTAAGGAGGAGATTTAAGGATTCAAGTGAATATTTGTTCCTTCAGTAAACTCAGTTGGATTGAGCAATGATTTTTTTTTCCTTTCTGTCACGAATGGCTTCCTTGTGAAACTGTTTTCAACATCAAAATCAACATGTGGTGACGATGCTAAATGTTACAGAAAGGTTATAGGAACTCTGAGAGAAAACAGTTGTCTGGTTATATAATGATGCAGAGAGTGAGTTCATAAATGCAAAATAAAAGTTTCCTCACAAGGAGTCACCAATAAGGAAGCTCGCTTTGACAGCAGTTCAGGAAACTTGAAATTCAAGACACATTATGAATATTTATACATACAAGGTCAATGTTCTTTCAGCCTAATCCGTAAGAGTGGAGCCTCTCCTTGACTCAGAGGAAGATGGAACTAAGTCAGTTCTTCAAGTCAAATTTCATTTTGTCTAAATATGGAAGTTATTATAGTCAGTGCTGTAGGTTCTGGGCAGTGTGAGGAGCTTTTGGTCTGTACAGTGATGGAGCTGACCTTTCTTATCCTGCCAGTTGCTGTGGGTGCTGATTAGCTTGTGAAGATCCTGGGGCTATTTGGAGAAATAAGATTTTTCTTTTCTTTTCTTTTAAATGTGCTGTTGCTTAAGAGATTCCGAATAGTGAAATGTTAAGGTCAGCTTTTACATTATACGGTTATTTCTGGAATATTTTCACTTAAACGCCTGACCGAATCAAGATTACTATTTTTCTAGGGGTTTTGAAGGAAAATCTGATGAAACGGGTATCTGAGGGTACTGATTATGCCCTTTCCCTTTCTCTGGTAGATCAGGAAAACTTGTTTTCAATTATTTCTATATAAAGCTAATTTTTTAAAAAAAGATTTTATTTATTTATTTTAGAGAGAGAGAGAAAATCTGAAGCAGACTCCACGCTGAGTAGGGAGCCCGATGTGGGGCTCGATCTTACGACCCTGAGATCATGACCTGAGCCAAAACCAAGAGTCGGACACTTAACTGACTGAGACACCCAGGCACCCCTAAAGCTCATTCTTTTTTTTTTTTTTTAAAGATTTTATTTATTTATTTGAGA